CCAATTCTGGGTTCGATTGATGGGTTGGGGTTCGAGTTTAGGGTTGGGGTGTAGGGCTTGGGGGTGGGGTCGGGGGGTGGAGGTTAGGGTTAGGTGTTGAGGTAGGGGTTGGGACAAGCTGCCCACCCGCCCGCAAGCCGCTTAGCTCATTCCCGCCCGCCCTCCCAACGCATAGCCCGAGCCTGAGTATGTTCAACGGTCGTCTTTGGATGGGCAGCTATTGGGAACCAAAAGCGACCCCATGTGCGCGACGCTGGGTCCCGAGCGTGCCAGGCACGTCTGGTGCACCATATGCGCCACGTGTTCCATGTGGGCCAGGTGTGCTGCATAATCCAGCCGCGCCAGGTGCGCCACGTCTGGGGCACGTGCCGAGTGAATCAGGTGCGCTTGCGCACGTGACAGCACTCATCGGGAAACATGTCGGCCCCCACCATTTTTGTCGAAAGCCAGTGCCCATCATTGTGTCTGGAGGGCCTGCGCACAGCGGGCCATACGCCACCACCCCCGCCGTCCTTGTCAAAAACCACTTGACAGTGATCGCGGGATCGCCGCGCATGATCCAGGTTTAGCCGTGAGGTGTATTTTTTTTATCAGGGATGGTAGTCCTGCGTGCAGCAGGGGATCTGTTGACCCCCCGCCGTCCCTGAACAAACAATGTGTTCGTGGGCCTCAAGAACATGACTCAAGACTTCGCCCCAAAGTTTACTTTATGTTTTTTGTTTGACAGAGATGATGGGGGGGCCGCATCGGGTTGGCCCTGCATGCTCCCTACCAATGTGGAGGCAGAGTGCGTTTTGTATTGTTTTGTTGTCAGGGAGGGTGGGGGGTGGCCCGCATGGGGTCGGCATGGTTCCGGGTTGGCTGCCGGCCAGGTGGGGGAGGGGTGTATATTAATAGGGAGCAGTGATTTATTTAGGGTTAGGATTGGTAGTGATCTTTTTCTGGAGCCAGGGGGCGGCGTAGCGAAAGGGTGGGAGGGGGGGGGCCGAGTTTCGAGTCCAAAGGGGGCGAGGGGGGAGGGGGTCCAGAGCCCCCCCCGTTTTGAAAGGAACGGGGGGAGTCCGCCGACGACGGACCTGGAAAGGGAGGGGTCGGGCCCGCCGACGGCGGACCTGGAAAGGGGGGGAGGGTTCGCCGGCGACGGACCGGGGAACGGGGGGATACGGGGGGGGGGCGGGGTCCTGGACCCCCCCTTCAATTTGAGGGGGATCCAGCGGCGCGCGCCCTCCAGGACAGGCCACCCTGGAGTAGGTCGCAGAGGTCTGAACACAAGGGGCCGCCTCCAGCGGTGCCTGATATGGTTGGATTGGTCTATGAGACTACCTCCGCGAAGGCTCCGCCCCGATGAGCTGGAGCTGCTCTGGGACCTGCGCGTGGAGGAAGACAAAACAAACAAACAAACTAAAAGAAACTACCTTCGTGTATCATGGTTGCCGGCTGTGGCCAGCCAGGACCCATTTCTGCGGCCGCCTGAGCGCATCCCTGAGTTTGGCTATCGCACGACCTGCACCTCGAAGAAGGAAGTGCTGCAAAGTTTCGGAGGTCCGAGCGGATTTCTTGGGTTGGCGTTGGCGCGCGGAGCGCGCCAGGGGTGGCGCGCCAATCGAAGAAATCTGCGCGGACCTCCGAAAGTTTATTATTATGGTTGTGCCGTTTTTGATTTTCAGTGCATTCTCAAGCGTTCCACAGAAGTTCTCCATCGCAAAAAGCCGCTGGGTGCAGGCTCGACTGCGCGCCCAGGTCCGAGGTCAAGCACCGGAACCTGCTTCTCAAGGATGGGGTCCAGCGGGGCCAGAAAGGAGGATATGTATCAGGGTGATGAGGAGCGGAAGGATCTGGAGGATGAGGAGGAGAAGGAGAAGGAGGAGGAGGAGAACGAGGAGGACCAGTGTCAAGCCAAGATTCACCAACGATGTTGCAATCAACGCTCCCTCTAGGTTCCCTCTTCATAGTCCACTGCAAAAGATTCATTTTCATTCAGCGAATTGTCCCGTTGGAAGTCAACCGCCTGAAAATTCTGAACCGTGCCAGGACACCACTCCTGGGTCTTTAACGCCTCGAATCAACTTTACTGTTGCGTCCTGATGATCCTGAATCGTGCCAGAACGCCATTCCTGGGATTTCAACACCGCGAATCAACGTGCAGGCAATGTTACATCGTGCTAAAACACCGTTTCTGGAACGTCAGCCATAAGAATATTTGAAACTTCTGTATTCTCTTAAAAGGAATGTGCGTGGCGCTGAGGCGAGAGTCACATTTTCAAAAGGAGCCGCCCTCCATCCGTGAAACTCTTGCGAACTTTCAAGACCAATGTGCGCGGCGCTGTAGCGAGAGCCACATTTTGAAAATGTGCCGTCCATTCGTGAAGCTCCTGCGATCTTTTAAGACGCATGTGCGTGGCGCTAAGGCGAGAGCCACATTTTGAAAACGGCCCGCCCTCCAGCCGGAGGAAATGCTCCTGTGCGGGGCAAGCCCGGCGCACCCGGCGCATTTGGCACACCCGGCACACCTGGCACACCCAGCAAACCCAGCGCACCTGGCGCACCTGGCACACATGGCACACACACTTAGCGCACCCGGCGCACCTGGCATGCCTGGCGCACCTGGTGCACCCGGCACACCTGGCGCACCCAGTGCACACCGACGCACCTAGCACACCCAGCACACCCAGCGCAACCGACACACCCGGCTCACCCTGCACACCCGGCGGCCCGGCGCGCAGACCCAGCGCATCCGGCACACCCAGCACACCCGATGCATTCGGCGCAAATGCCCGGCACACCCGGGGCACCCAGCGCATCTAGCGCGCCCGGCGCACCCAGCACACCCGGCGCACCTGGCACATCCGGCACAGTCGGACACCCGGCGCATTCGGCACATCCATGGCGCACCCGGAACACCCAGCGCGCACCCGACACATTTGGCGCACTCGGGGCATTGTGCATACCAGGCACACTTGGCGCGCCCGGCACACCCAGCGCACTATCGGCACACCGAGAGAAACCAGCACATTTGGCGCACCCTGCGCATCCAACACACCGGCATACCCGGCGCACCCAGCACACCTGGCGCACCCAGCACACATGGCATGTCCGGCACGTCCAGTGTGTACACCTGGCGCGCTCGCTCAGCGCACCTGGCACACATGGCGCACACGGCACACCTAGCATACACAGCGCACCTAGCGTACTCGGCACACTTGGCGCACCCGGCCCACTTGGCACACCCGTGCGCGACTGGCGGGACCTGGCTCCACTGCACACTTGGCACACCCAGCGCACACGTTACACCTGGCGCACCTGGCACCCCGGGCACACCTGGTACAACCGGAGCACCGAGCACACATGGCGCACCCGGTGCATTGAGCATACCAGGCACGCCCGGCGCACCCGGCGCACCCGGCGCACCCAGCACTTCTAGGCACACCTGGAGAACCCGGCACATTGGGCGCACCACACCAGGCATACCTGGCGCACCCAGCACATCAGGCGCACCCAGCACACATGGCACATTTGGCTCGTCCAGTGCGTACACCTGGCGCGCTCGCCAAGCGCACTTGGCACACACGGCGCACAGGGCACACCTAACACACACAGCGCACTTGGCGTACCCGGCACACCCAGTACACCTGGCACTCCTGGGACACCCGTGCTCGACTGGCGCGACCTGGCGCACCTAGCGCCACTGCGCACCCGGCGCGCCCAGCGCACCAAATGCGTTTGGCGCACCCAGCGCACCAGGCGCGCCGCACGCACTGGCCGCACTTGGCACACCAGGGCCTCGTACGGCTTCTCTGAAGCGTCTTGGATCGTCTTGGGCCAGTCTTGCGCCGTTTGGCCTTTTCGAAGGCCGTCTCGGGAGCCTGTCGGGTCCGCCTTGGGCATCTTGGGGGCTTCTTGCGCCAACTTCGTGGCTTCTTGCGGGCTATCTTGGGGCCAACTTAGGCTGGCCAGGAGAAGGAGGAGGAGGAGGAGGCGGGTGCGGAGGAGGAGGAGGAGGAGGAGGAGGAGGAGGAGGAGGAGGAGGAGGAGGAGGAGGGAGAGAGAGGCGTGGCACAGTCAACACGTTGGGCTACCTCAGGCTCGGGAGGGGCTCCCATTTCTGGGCCGTTCCTTGAACCAGCGTCGGGGGAACTGCTTGTGCTCGATGTTCGCTGATGCTCGAAAAGGTCCAGAGTTCCTTATCCGAGGTTTCTTGTGGCAGGACGTCGACTGTAATTTTGACTGCCCTGGATCCTGGCCGCTAGGATCCCCGAAGGTCCCCAGGGGCCCGTGGAGGCCCGAAGGGGGCCGTAAACATGCCAAAAGGCGATTGAACACGTCCAACACCTCATCCTTCTCTCCTCCTCTTCCTCTCTCGTCCCCTCACTCCTTTGCCTCCTCCTCGCTATCCTCTTCGGCGGCTGGCGGAGAGGGGAGGTCGCGGAGGAGGAGAGAAGGTGAGGGAGGAGGCGGGGGGAGATAGACAGCGAGGAGAAGTGAGGATGAACGAGGAGGAGGACGATGATGATGATGCTGATGATGGCGATTATGATGATGATGATGCTGATGCTGATGCTGCTGATGACGACGATGGTGCTGATGAGGATGATGATGATGACGACGACGGTGATGAGGATGGTGATGATGATACTGACGACGGTGGTGGTGGTGATGCTGCTTCGGATGATGATGATAATGATGATGATGATGAAGATGATGATGATGAAGATGATGATGATGATGATGATAACCATGAGCACGACCATCACCACCACCACTATCACCACCATCATGATCATCATGATCATGATCATCATCATCACCATCATCATCAACACCATCATCATGAGGACTGATGATGATGATGGTGATGGTGCTGGCAATGGTGGCGATGGTGATGATGGTGATGCTGCTGCTGACGTTGATGATGATCATGCACATGATGCGGAATCAGGTCATTTTGATCATGATGGTGATGACCATGCGGATGCGTATGTGGATGATGATGATGCTGATGA